CAAAATCATTACGGACAGCAAAGAAAATGCCAGGTCCCTGATCCAGATGTAGGGTATTTAGAAGCTGGTTGGTATCAACAAATTGAAGTTGGATTTGAATACGTCCACAAGAGCAAAGGAACCTGCCTTCTCCCCCCCACTCAGGCTGCTTGTCCATCATGAATCATGAACTCCAACCAATTATTATTTTCACTAATTATGGGACGGGGGTGGCGCTGTGGTGTAAACCATAGAGCCTAGGGCTTGACGATCAGAAGGTCAGCGGTTCAAATCCCCGCGACGGGGTGAGCTCCCGTTGTTCGGTCCCAGTTCCTGCCAACCTAGCAGTTCGAAAGCACATCAAAGTGCAAGTAGATAAATAGGTACCACTCCAGCGGGAAGGTAAACAGTGTTTCCGTGCGCTGCTCTGGTTCGCCAGAAGCGGCGTAGTCATGCTGGCCACATGACCCGGAAAAACTGTCTGCGGACAAACGTCAGCTCCCTCGGCCAGTAAAGCGAGATGAGCGCCGCAACCCCAGAGTCGTTCATGACTGGACTTAACTGTTAGGGATCCTTTACCTTTTAATTATGCACGCATATGATAATCCGCAACAACGCTCATTAATCTATGCATTTTGTGTACGTTTCTTGGCTGGAGAACTGCACTGCAAAATTTGGAGAAGCGTGAATTTTGAAGGATGGCTGCCTTTTGGTTCACATGATGCTCTCGAGGCTGCAAATCAGGCACAATGGAACCTCGGCTGCCGAATGCTTTGGAAGTCTAACGTTTTGGTTTTCGAACACCGACAACCCGGAATGCTTCTGTTTTTGAATGCACCTCAAAAGTTGAACAGCTTCTGAGGTGCATTTCTCCATTTATCAATGGATTTTGCTGACCGGCAATTGCTCCTCAGTTGTTGAACGTTTCAGAAGTTGAATGGTCTTCTGGAACGGATTACGTCTGACAACGGAGCTTCCACTGTAGCTTTATCTTTTAACACAAGCTGAATTGAAGTTCTTCCACTTCCTTTGTTGTGTGTGTGTGAGCATTAGAGGATGTGTATACCTATTTGAAATCTGTGCTGGCCTGAAGGGCCTTCCATGGAGAGTTGATTCTGTTGCTGCTGCTGCTGCTGGAGGTGATGTTGTTTAGCTGAAATAGCAGGGAAAAAGCTCCAATCCAACAGTTCTGGGTGGATGGGCAGACCTGTTTTGGCGTCTCCCGTCTGAAATCCCAAGACTGAGCCAGCCGCAGCGAAGTGGAAAAACCACGTCCCACTCCAACTCCTGCTTCTCATCCCTGGCAGATTTGCCTGGCTTGGCACGTGCTCATTTGACAAACGCGCTCTGCAACTGCAGTTCGGTAATGAACTAGGCTCCATAAGGCAGGCAGTTCTTTTCTTTTTTAAAAGAGCACACACACACACAGGCATTGACACAATTGCTCGGGGAATATAAATTCTAAAGGGATCATGCAAACGCATGGATACAGACACACAAACCCTTCCCTAATCTCATCTGAAATCGGAGGGATAAAATCCCCCCACCTCCAAAATGGGGGTTTTAATTTTAAGGATGGTGGGGGCAAAATACTTTGCCTCTTTTTTGGTGGTGGGAGAATAGGACTCATCCTTTGTTTGTTAGGATTTGGGGGGGGAGGGGAAGCCATGTCTTTTTAAAGTGGCATGATACTGCTTTAAACGTATTGTGCAGATAGGGCCTGAGCTTCATAAACAGATTGCACAGTCTGTTGCACGGGTTTCTTCTGCTGCTACTGTTGTGCTAGATTCCTCTGCTGTGCAATAGTAAAACTCACCCATTCGCTAGTGCAAGATTCCTTGCAGGAGCCTTTTCACTAGCGGACAGAGAATGCTGGCTACAGTGCACTCATTTTAAGTATCAGGAGAACACCTTCCCATTTACCTGGGTCTTTCAAAAATGCTGCTTGTTGTTAACCCTGTCCCTGCTGCTATTTCTATCCTGCTCCTGCTGTTCTAAATGTTTGACATGCCTGTAGCCTGTTGTTCTCTATCATGTTGCCTTGAACTGATTGATTGTCCATCTTGGAAATTCCTTGAGCCGAAAAGGCAGGAAGAAAATATTGAAAATTAAAAAAAGACAAATTGAAAACAACAACAACAGTGAGAAAAGGAACAGAAGTGTGCATGCCCACGCACAACTACAACAGCAACAGCAACAACAACAACAGCACTCCTAAAATCCTCCTACATTCAGAGCAAGAGAACAATGGGGAAGACACCAGAGCTGGCAAATTGGCAGCTGTCATTTCCAAGCGTTACCTATTTGATCATTCTTTATTATCAGAAAATGGGGACTCAGATATCTCAGTCCTTCTTTAGCAAAAAGCAAAATATAAAACAGCCACCAGTGGCTCATCCTTTCAAAATGCCATTAGCTGCACAGAAATTGCCGCTCCGTTCCCCCGTGGGTGAGCAAAGATTCAGCATTCTACCCAGACAGCCCAATCTTCCCAGCAGATCTATAATTTTTATTTAGAGGCTCCCAATGTGGTGCAGATGTATATTTAATGGAGAGGCTCATAAATAACAAAGCGCAGGGCCCTATCTATGAAGATTTAGAAGGGAAACGGTTTGACACCTGCCCTATTAAAAATATATCTGTACAAAGTGCTTATAGAAGAATAACACTCAACACTATCAAAGCAGCCTAGGTAAGCACGGAACAGCTTAATCAATTCTCAACAACACCCCCTGGAAACTCAGAGCGGCGTCAGCTGCGATGCACAGCACCTGGGCTGCTGGTCAGGAGGTGTTTTATTAAGATTCCCCAACCATGCAAAAGCTGCTCCAGTTGAAAACACGGAGCTGGCAACACTTCCTTGGCTTCCTATCCTGCTGCCTTGGTTTGCTTGGAACAGGGTTAGAAGGCATGGCCACAGAAACATGCCAGCAACCAACTTTGCCAGCGAAACAGCAACAGCGGGGGCATCCGTCAAGCTCAGCGTAGGCGCCGCTTCTCCCGGTTAGGTAATCTGCCCGTGGACACACTCAGCGATGCAATAGCTAAGAGGGCCTGCATAGGAAACCTCCAAAGCCCATTGCAAAAGCTCCCCCAGATCTCTCAGCTTCCTCTAATAATTCAGCGCAGCTGGAAAAAGCCTGCCGTGCAGTTTCTCGCGGGCTGTTTTATTACACAAGTGGGTTAGCGCTGTTTGAATCCGACGATGTTCTTTTTGAAAATTGCATTTTTAAAAATGCTGTGGGTTTTATTTTTTAAAATGCTGTGGGTTCTCTCTCCCCCCTTCCTCCTAGGACAGTCTGGGAACACCTGATGTTGCCGCATTGCTGAAGCTGTTCCGATCTTCATCAGAGGCCCTGCTCAGAACTCAAACTCCGCCATTTGAGGTGAGGAGAGTGGCCACTAGGGATACGTATGGAACTCCCTTCTGATGCCCATTTGTCTTTAGACAAGTGCATGGATGACAGGGCTAACAGTGGCTACTAAGCCTCATGGTTATGTTCTGCCTCCACTGTTGGAAAAAGTATGCTTTTGAATACCAGTTGTTGGAAACCACAGAAGGAGAGAGAGCTCTTGCACTCTGGTCCTGCTTGCAGGCTTTCTGCTGAAATCTGGTTGGTGCCTCTGAGAAAAGGATGCTGTATTCAATGGGCCTCATCCAGCAGCATCTTTCTGTTGGGAAGCGTCCAGGGAATGGGGGCAATTCGCAGGCCCCCAGCTGGCTCCAGCCCACCGGCTGGCAGCCGGGTGAACTCTGGTCTCCCTTGGAACAGCATTAATAAGCGACTCATAGCTTCAGAAGCCTTCAGAAACTTGAGCACGCTCTAATCAGCAGACTGACTACCTCTTCACAACGGAAGTGGTGGACAGAGGCATACGTAAAGCGTATTTACAAGCATTTTATTCAGCATAGTTCATAGACAAAGAAAACATGTCTGCTCTCTTTCGTGTCCAAGCAGCAGCAGGAACAAAGCAAAAGCAATACACAAACGGAAGTTCCCAGCAAGCTGTGCTGGAATGTAAACAGACATGTCACATACAACAGCTCCACACATCTGTTTAGGTGGAACGGAACATCATAATCCTAACACTTTCTTCTTATGCTGTTATGTCCGGTGGCTCCTTCTTTTATGGTGGAGGTGGTGGAAAGTCATAGCTCAGTAGCCGAGCATTTGCTTTCATGCAGAAAGTTCCCACCAGCATCTCCAGTTAAAACAGGGGTAGGCAACTGGCGTCCTGTGGGCCACATCTAGCCCATGCAGCCTTCTTGCTCCCTTTTGGAATGTTAGCACATTCCCCACCCTCGAGGTTAAGTAGCAGGTGGCCAATCAGAGTAGATGATGCCAAGTTAGATGGAGAAATAATCTGCCTTGATATAAGGCAACTTTCCATGATCCTTTCAAATCAAGGCAGCAGCTTGAGGGTGGTATTGCTCATCCATGCTTTTGGTAGGATTTATCTTGTTTTAAAATCTCACTGCTGTTTTCAATTTGACTGCTTAAAAAAACCCAAACACCTCAATTCAATGCTTATTTCCAATTTCATTTTGCAACCATTGTGTTTGGATGATATTGCTGTTTCAGTTTCTGCCCCGAGCCGCCTTGGACACTGCGCCAGAGAGGCGTACTATATCAACAGTTTAATTACATAATTATACAATAAAGTTAACAGCAGCAACACCACTGCCACCACACAACAGACGCTCTATGGCTGTGCCCCTGATCAGGCTCTGGAATTGGATGTTACAGAAGAGTAGGAAACGGTTAATGCATTTACTTTTGCGTGTATTTGGAATGCAGACACATAACATTTAACAGAAGTTTTGGAAGGAAAGGGGAGGGCAATTTGCTACCCAGGATCCATACTTTGCAAAAATGCCATTGTTTAGCAACAAAGATCACAGGAGTATAAAAAGCGGCTTTACATCAAGTCAGACCACTGTTCTTTCTAGTTCAGTATATTTTACACTGACTGGCAGCGGCGCTGCAAGGTTTCAGGCAGAGGTGTCTCCCAGCCCTACCTAGAGATGCCATGGTTTGAACTCAGGACCTTTTGCATGCAAAGCAGATGCTCAACCACTTAGCTACAGTCCTTGCCTAATTGCATTCTCGGGTGTCATCCCTCAGGCACAACAGATTTCAGCTCTGCCTAGGAAACTAAAATATTTCATAGCCTCAGGAAAGCCACTGGTCATAGAATGAGCAGAGGCAGGAGGAACATCTATTTTCAGGCTGCCAACTCATTAATTAGACAGGCAGATAGATAGGTGTTTAAAAACCCATCAATTTTATTTTGCAAGAGCTAAGAGGGCCAGCATAGGAAACCTCCAAATCTCACGGCAAAAGCTCTCCCAGATCCCTCAAGCCCCACATTGGGGGAAAATTCTTGCATCGCAGGGGGTTGGAGTAGATCAGGCTTCCTCAAATTCGGCCCTCCAGATGTTTTTGGCCCACAACTCCCATGATCCCTAGCTAGCAGGACCAGTGGTCAGGGATGATGGGAATTGGAGTCTCAAAACATCTGGAGGGCCTGCTCCAACTCCGCAGTTCTATGAATCAAGTCAGTGTTGGCAATACTGAGCTGGAATAACCAATCGCCTGACTCATTAAGGGGCAGCTTCCATGGTTAGAGCATCTGCTTGGTTTGAGAAGGCCTCAGAATCTTTGGGTTGCCATATGTCCTCTTTTTCCAGGACACACACTCTTTTTCATGGGTATGGAAAATGAGAGCCGTCATAGCGATCCGTAGTTAAAAATTGTTGTTGTTGTTGTTTAGTTGTTTAGTCGTGTCCGACTCTTCGTGACCCCATGGACCAGAGCATGCCAGGCACTCCTGTCTTCCATTGCCTTCCGCAGTTTAGTCAAACTCATGCTGGTAGCTTCGAGAACACCACCCAACCATCTCATCCTCTGTCGTCCCCTTCTCCTTGTGCCCTCCATCTCTCCCAACATCAGGGCCTTTTCCAGGGAGTCTTCTCTTCTCATGAGGTGGCCAAAGTATTGGAGTCTCAGCTTCAGGATCTGTCATTCCAGTGAGCACTCAGGGCTGATTTCCTTCAGAATGGAGAGGTTTGATCTTCTTGCAGTCCATGGGACTCTCAAGAGTCTCCTCCAGCACCATAATTCAAAAGCATCAATTCTTCGGCGATCAGCCTTCTTTATGGTCCAGCTTTCACTTCCATACATCACTATTGGGAAAACCATAGCTTTAACTATATGGACCTTTGTTGGCAAGGTTAAAAATAGAAGTCGGCAAATGTGTCCTCTTTTTTGCTCTTCAAAATACGGCAGCCCAGATTCAATTTCCAGCATCTCCAGGCAAGGGTGGGGGAAATCTCCTGCCTGAAACCTTGGAGAGCTGCTGCCTGTCCGTGTGGACAATACCGGGCAAGATGAACCAAAGGTCTACCTGTTATAAATCAGGTTCCCATGTTCCTGTGTCCTCAAACTGCTTTTCCTTCCCAGGGTTGAAAGCTGCTGTTTTCACGCCACGCAATAGTTATTTCAAATAAAGCTCCATATTTTCTTTGACGGGTGCTCAAATACGCAGCTAGCATTACAGCCTCCTCTGCTAACGGGGAAAAAACGGGGGTCATCCTGGGGTCACATGCGCTCCAAAGGTCAAACTATTCAGCATGTATTCTGTGAATGAAAGTGACAGGGGAGCAGCTTTGCTTCTAAGAGCTGGGCTAATGATTTTCTTTTATTCAACATCTGTGGAGCAACGAGGCTCTCCTCCCGTGGAGGAAAAGAGCTTCGGAGAATGTACATCCTACTGAAAAGTCATCCGCAGACCGTTCTGGTTAATGGTCCAGCTATATGAAACACACAGACGTGTGCAGCTGAGTCCCAACTGCGTCTCCACCTCCATCGTTCAGCCCGGACACCGAGGTCCAGCTCCGAGGACCTTCTGGAGGTTCCCTCACTGCAAGAAGTGAGGTTAAAGGGAACCAGGCAGAGGGCCTTCTCAGTAGTGGTGCCCTCCCTGTGGAACACCCTCCCATCAGATGTCAAGGAAATGAACCACTATCTGACTTTTAGAAGACATCTGAAAGCAGCCCTGTTTGGGGAAGTTTTTAATGCTTGATGTTTTATCATGTTTTAAATATTCTGTTGGGAGCCGCCCAAAGTGGCTGGGGAGGCCTGGCCAGATGGGTGGGGTAGAAATAATGAATTATTATTATTATTATTACCACTTTCTCTTTCTGGAAAAGCCGCTTTGGGTGTGGATGACACCATACATTTAGAACACTGTTCTCTCCCCAAAGAATTCTGAGAAGTGTAGTTTGTTAAGGGTACCGAGACTCCTATTCCACTCTCAGGGCTGCAATCTTTAAGACAAAAAGAGCCACTTGGAGCGAAGAAAAAACAACTGGGAGCCGCAAAACCATTGCGACATTTAAACAGTGGGCTGTGTCGGGGCGCACGATGTGCCTCTTCCCCTCGCTAGTATCCGCCCCGGAGCCGTGGCAAAGGTGTAAAAGAGCCACATGCGGCTCCGGAGCCGCGGGTTGTTGACCCCTGCCCTAGGAAGAGGGGTTGCTTGTTAAAACCAGTCTGAAAACTGTAGCCGTGGTGGAGAAATGGACGATCTCAGCACATTTAACAAGCTACATTTCCCAGGAACACTTGGCTGAAGATAGGATTGATGAAGTGGTACAATTGGTGCTTTGACCTGTCAGGACTCTGAGGTTTTTTTGTTTTTTTAACATCAGGACACCCCTGGAGGATTATACCGCTGTTCATCAGGTAGGTCTTCCAAACCTGGGTATACGCTCCCAGTAGTGTAGTAGTGACAGATTCAGAAGTGCAGGATCCTATCATTATAGTCATCGCCACTCCCTCCACAGCCACACCCCTTTCTAAGACTATACCATAATCTTAAAGGTAAAGGTAAAAAGACCCCTGACCATTAGGTCCAGTCGTGACCGACTCTGGTGTTGCGGCGCTCTTCTCGCTTTACTGGCCAAGGGAGCCGGCATACAGCTTCCGGGTCATGTGGCCAGCATGACTAAGCCGCTTCTGGCAAACCAGAGCAGCACACAGAAATGCTGTTTACCTTCCCACCAGAGCGGTACCTATTTATCTACTTGCACTTTGACGTGCTTTCGAACTGCTAGGTTGGCAGGAGCAGGGACCGAGCAACGGGAGCTCACCCCATCGTGGGGATTTAAACCACTGACCTTCTGATCGACAAGTCCTAGGCTCTGCGGTTTAACCCACAGCACTACCCGCGTCCCACCATAATCTTATAAACATACAATAATAATAAAGACTAGGGATGCATTGCAACAAGCACTGCTTCCATGTATTACCTTTCAGCTAGATCTATGGTTTTCTGTTCACATACATGGGCAAATGATTTGAAGTGCTCTTTCAGAGTGATTCAAGTTGTGTTTTCTTTGAAGTTCCATAGTACGGAACAGAACTTGCCTGCCATAATCTTGAGACTGAAGCGCCTTGTGTTAGCAGTGTTCCTTAAACATCTAGCTTTGGAGCATATAGAACAACAACTCCTTGCTGCTCTTCTTGTTGCGCAGCGGTAAATTAATCAATGCAGAGTCTTCTTCATAAACAGAACAAAACTTTACTGAAGAAAATAAACTTGTTCAGAAAGAGCATAGCTAAAGAGCATACACAGAGTGCTCATAGCAGCTGTCTGACTCTTCACAGAGGCACAGTCTTAGTGATTTACTAGAGTCCTGGAGCCCCTCTGCCTGCCTTAGTTTTACAAGCAACAAGAACAGCACTATTCCATAGACTACTCCATACAGGATCCATGCAGCTCTCTGGCTTAGGCCCATTGAGAGGCTGGCTGCTTTTATAAGGAGAATGAGTCATCACTCAAGATGAGTCACGAGTAACAGTGACTTAGCAGTTTGCTGTTAGCAGTTAGCAGGCTTAGGGCTGAATGATTGTGTAAGCCTTGTAGGCCTTGCTGCTTCTGCTCTCAAGAACCTTTGTCTCATGACACTTTCTGCATCTGTCAAGCAGCTGCCAAGCGAGCCCTGGTCAAGCACAGGGCAGGGAAGCACAGAAGACACAGAATGCAATTACAGTCATAAGGTAAAGGTAAAGGGACCCCTGACCATTAGGTGCAGTCGTGACCGACTCTGGGGTTGCAGCGCTCATCTCGCTTTACTGGCCAAGGGAGCTGGTGTACAGCTTCCGGGTCATGTGGCCAGCATGACTAAGCCGCTTCTGGCGAACCAGAGCAGCGCACGAAAACGCCGTTTACCTTCCCGCCGGAGCGGTACCTATTTATCTACTTGCACTTTGATGTGCTTTTCAAACTGCTAGGTTGGCAGGAGCAGGGACACAGCAATGGGAACTCACCCCGTCGCGGGGATTCGAACCACTGACTTTCTGATCGGCAAATCCTAGGCTCTGTGGTTTAACCCACAGCGCCACCCGCGTCCCCATTACAGTCATACCTCGGGTTAAATGTGCTTCAGGTTGAGTGCTTTTGGGTTGCGCTCCGCGGCGACCCGTAAGTAATGAAACATGTTACTTCTGGGTTTTGCCGCTCGCGCATGCGCAGACAGTAAAAATGATGTCACGCGCATGCGTGGAAGCGGCAAATTGCGACATACGCATACGCACAGTCACAAGTTGCGTTTGCTTCTGGATGTGAATGGGGCTCCGGAATGGATCCCCGATCGTATCCTGAGGTACCACTGTAGCTCTTTATTAACAGAAAATAGCAGCACAGTAGAGTCCTCTGGTTCGTCTTAATCCAGTTGAGAAGTTGCTGAAACTGATCACCCTTCCCCCTCTAGCCTCTCACTTTGGATCCCTCCCAAGCAGACGAAGGCTGTGTCAAGGGGGTGACCCCCACCTCTGGGCCTGTCTGGCCCGTTGCTCAACAGGACTTTCCTCAATTGGGGTGTCAGAGGGGGAGGAGAGCCAACAGGACTGGGACCAGGGGCAACCTCAGACTCTTCTCTGAGTCTGTGCTCACACTGTGACTCTCAGCCTCTAACCAGCCTCTAGCCTAAGGTTACCAGATTTTTTTCAAAGAATCTGGGGACACTTTTTTTTTTTAAAGAGAGAAAAAAAGTTATTTTTAACAAAATCATTTTTTAAAAAACTTA